GATTTTTTTGCTTCTACATTTCCTGCATCATGAGAGTATTAAGAGAAGGGTTTTCTTTTTTTATACTCATGCGTGGTGGTGTCCCTTGATGGGGCACAGTAACCAAGCACTGGTCATGTGATCCTGATTTTGTTGTCATATTATTATGTCTTAAAATGTACCCACTGTTATTAGTATAAATTCCATATGTTTTGGGTCACTTCTTCCCTTGTTTTCTCTAATAAAAAATTTAGTAGGTACTACTATTTAAACAGAGTTAGGTTGCCTCACCATCCAAATTACTACTCATCCCTCCACCTTTGTATGAGGCGTTTACATAGATTCCTCCCACTCACCATGCCGTCAACCATTGCACCAAATCCAATTGTTCTCGTTCATATACCGGCACCACTGCCCATCCACCTTAATTGTAGCAGCGGTGCACTTGCATAGTTCCACGGTCAGTTCGGAGGTGTAGAGAAGTGTGCTTACTATTTCGTTGATTCGTTTGCTATTACGATGGTATCATCGTAAAGCGTTTCGGAAACCGTACTGGAATTTTGCCGATCCGCCAGTAACAAACAAATGTTCTCTGGGGCTTGAGCCTTGGAAAGCACACACGGCCGCTCGGCTGTTTTTTTTTTCTCCAAAGGGCGCGGCCCTCTATAGTATCTGAACACAGTTTGGACAGCTAAACCCGGGATTCTAGTGATGAGAATCAGAGATTATCAAAGAATCAAGTGAGAAGAGGAGTGTTGGACTTAATGTTTGCTCTCTAAACAAAATAGTCTCTTTTTTATGGTAGTTTCTTTCGTAACTGGCTTTTTTTTTCCCCACCACACACAATTGCAGTTGATGCGAGTGAGGGTTGATGATTCGGACAAAAGAGAGAAATTAAATAAAGAGGAATACTGCTATCAAATCATTAGCAACAGCAAGCCAGCCGGCCGAGCCGAAGAAGAAAAGGGAAAAGAAAGAGATGCGCTAGTCACACAACCTGAATTGGTGCCACTACAGCTCATCAACTTATTGTAATCAAAAAAGTGTTAGTGCCAAGATAGTGAAGTAACTTGACCCTATCATGTTCCTTCATTAGTGAAAGTTTTCTTTACATAGAAAAAGAGCATCCGCGAAAAAAACCAATCAGTGTGATGGGTGGTTTGTTCCTGCTTCTGCAGAACTCCTGGATGCCCTCAGTTTCCCTCTACCTAATGGTGGAAGCGAGAAGGGCTGTGGTGAGCTTTTAAGAGTTTCAGGAGAGGGTACTTCAATCCTTAGTGTAAGTATTGTTCCACTGTATTGTGACTCCCTTTATATGTTATTGCTCATCTTACATTGCTTGTCAATCCCTTTGTGATATTAGAGTAGGGTATACTCTGGTAGTCACCTACCAGGATCAATTTTTTGCTGCTGCCGTGTTTTTGATATGGTAAATATTCCTGCAAGAAAATAGTATGATGTTATAGAGGTAAATCTCCTACAGCCATTCCTATGAGGATATTAGCTGCTGTCAGAAAAGTCCTAGGTTGCCTGCTCTATCAAGGAGGCCCAGAAGATCCAGTAGGCCAAGAGGGGGGTTTTTTTTTTTTAACTTCTTGTAGATCTTGTATAATCACAACAGCAGGTTATTTGGCCCACTTAGGACAGCCTGAAAAGCCAGCAAGGTCAACAAAGGGTATGTTCACAAGAGGCTCACAAATTGCAATCGATTTTTCAGCTCAGTACCCTTCTCTTCCCTCCTTATTTGGTAGAGAATCTGTACAATAACTATTCCTCCACCATTCTTTACTGTCTCCACATTTTTAAATTTTAAACGCTTTTGTTCTTCTATACTATGAGCCTTGTAGCTTTAACCAGAGACCTGCCTCAAATGTTTAATTTCAATTGATACTGAGATTTCTCAAAAACTGGACCACAGCCTAAAGTCCAGCTAGACCAGTTTCCACAAAAGTTCAGGTTGGACTGTCTGTTGTGAGAACTATCCTACAGAACATACAGGCTAACTGTGTTATATAAATTAGACCTTTTTTAGCAGAGTTAAATGAAACACTTCTCAGGATACATACTAACATTTTTAACAGAACATAAAGCCTAGTTAATACCTATAATTTTCAGATACTAATTCTCCAACATTAGTACTTGTAAAAAATAGGTAACAAGAAGAAGTAAAAATCACATTGTAATCCATCAAAATAGCAGTTACTAGCTGCTAGCAATTCATTGTAGTGTCACAATATCTAGTTTAGTAGTTTGGCTAGTACCATGTAAGGTCAATTAAGTCTGCTATGCTTACTACAACAACAAAGCCTGCTTCATCTGAAATCCTCAATGGAGCTAAGCTCTGTAAAATAAATTCAAGCTACAGAGAGTAATGTAGTTTCTGTTTTTGTAACACACTAGGAGATGACCAACATTTCTGGCATACCTCTCCCTTCCACTGAGCCTCAACCTTAGGTCAAGCAAGTTTGAATGGGTAATCCATGTTCATTGGACTAACTCAACAACCTGTGGCCCTGGAATTTTAAGTAATAAAAGAATTTCTTCAAATTAGTATAGGGAGACAAAGTATAAAGAATCCCAAGGCTGAAGAATCCTCAAAGAAAATGAGCAGAGTTCAGCCAACTGAAAAAGTAAATAAAAGTCCACAGTATCCCCTTCACTTCTTCTCCAACTTGGAAAAGTATATTCTATAATTTCTAGGGACCAGAAAGGCACAATATTTTCTCTTTAGGGCAATCTACAACATGGAGCATGGCTCTACATAAATAGATACCTATATGAATACCACTAGATCTTCAACACTAGTAGCAAGCCTCCATACCCAGTAATACAACCCTACCCAGAGAGCAGTAGTTTTTTTAGTAGAAGAGCTGACCAAAATAAATCATAAAATTTCACAACATGACAACTGACTCTCTTTCAATGCCAACATCTTGGGGAGAATCCTAATGCAGGATTCAAAGGTGATAATAAATCAAAAGAAAGAAGAATGAGCAACAATAATATCATGGTAAATAGATGAGGATAGTGTGGCAGACTCTCTTGTGTTTACCATATTTCTAGAAAATTTTCTCAGTAACCCAGTGCAATTCTTGGCACCTGGATGTTTGGTACTAGTACAGTACTCCAGTATATATACAGACTGAATCTAGAATACTAGTAGCACTCGCACCTGGTCATTGAAGTAAAAAATAGAGTACTGCAAGCAACCCTGTCATTGCACAGAAGTCCCAGTTGGCTGAAATTGGAGAAAAGATCGGCAAGTCAGCATCACTAGGTACCCATACTAGGATCAAGTAGGTGTAATATAGGACTGAAAATATATATATATTCCTTTGCTTCCGATATCTGAGTTTGTAAAGACCGAGTGTATCTAGAGAAAAAAACATGCACTTTTTGAGCAGGTACAGGTTTCCCGAGGTTCCTTGTTATCATCCCTGCTTTGCTCATTTTTTTACCTCCATCGGCAAGTACTAGTACTACCCGTAGTACCGTAGAAACTCTGATAATCGGCCCATGTGCTGTGTCGTCGAAAATCCCCTACTCCGGAAAAGGAGCGAAAAATACAGCAAAAGGTGAACTGCTCAGCCCCTCTGAGAGGCATAAAAAAACAAAACAAAATACCAGGCCTTACCAGAGGAGGCAATCCCAACGACATAGCACATGGGCCGATTGTTGGAGTTTCTACAGTACGGTACTCGTACAGCATTTTAATTCAAGCGTGCCAAGGTTCCTATTAGGTACCGCATTAACTTGAATAGGAGAACGGTGGATTATGTAGTCAAGAATTCCCAACTTTAGAATAGAGGCTAAAAACACTTCAAAAAAAAATGAGAACATAAAAAATCAAAAAAAAGTCAGACCTTACCAGAGGAGGCAATTCCAACGACATATCTATAGCACACCGTTCTCTTGTTCAAGTTAATACGGTAATGTACTCGAGTACTCGCACTCGTACTACCGGTAGTATTTTACTCGGGTATGGACGTTGGCGTTGAGACGGACGGGGGTTCAAGGTGTCATAGCTTTTCGCCCTTTCTAGCATCAAGCCTACCAAATTAAATTATTATTTACTTCAGATGGAATTTACCGCTCAATTGTAGCGCCGGACCCAAGAACCCTGCCTGCCTCACCATCAACACCTATACAGGAGCACTATGTACAGTCGCACCTCGTTGTCCCGGACGACCAAAACCCGAAGAATTTGTCCGGTACAGCAAGGGATCCGGGACAAGCGGGTGAGGTTTTGGTGGAAAGAAATTCAGAGTTCACCGAGATTCATACGAGACAGCGAGGTATCCAGATTATCGAGATCCAGGATAGCGGGGTGTGACTGTATGATATGATACGGTATGAAACCCGAGCAAAATACGGCAAAATTTCAGGACCATGTGAGGCAATCAAGTACCGTATCATACTACTACGGTCACACCCCCGCCGTCCCGTATGAATCTCTGTGAACTCTGAATTTCTTTCGACCAAAACCGGACAGCCGGGAATTCTAGAGGCCCTACCGTAATTGCGCTCAAAGGAAATAGAAGAATGAGTCTGGCATGAGAATTGCTCAAACAAGCAAGAAGTTTTGACACCTCTAATCCCCGGTTGTCCGGTCACCCACCTCCATACCCGAGTACTAGTACAAGTGCCGTGCCCTTGCTGCATCCTTGGCTCCTGTCTAGGACTAACGCTTGCCGGGATAAGGGTACGATCACTGCCCGCAAGCCGCACATGCCGTTCTATCGCAGAGCCCCATCCTATGCTCCGACACTGTTGTTGACTGCCTCCTACCTGTATACGAGAACAGAGCCACCAGCCATAAACAGAACTTACGGCAGAACAACCCATCAATAGTACCAGTACGCATCAAGATCACACAACCCAAAACATACGTATCCTCGAGCTCGCCGACAATGGCCCGTCCGCCACTCGTTTGGGCCGCTGTCAATGGCCACGAAGAAGCAGTGAGGCTACTACTTGAGGATCCTGCGATTGACCCCAATTTAAAAGATGAAGACGATGTTGACGACGGAACAGCTCTCTGGTGGGCCGCAAAATACGGCTATGAGGGGATAGTGCGAATGTTACTGGCTCGGAAGAATATTGACCCTAACATACCAGCATTTTCAGGCACGACACCACTCATGGCAGCTTGGACCAGTGGGTACGATACGATAGCAGAGCTACTGTTGGCTCGAGGCGACACCGATTATAACAGAGCGGACGGAAACGGCGATACCCCAATATGCTGGGCCGCAGCTAATGGTAAGGAGAAGGTCGTCAAGTTGTTACTCGCAAAAAAACGTATTGATTGCCAGCGAGAAAATAATGATGGCGATACACCACTCGCTCTCGCTGCGCTGCACGGACATATGGGGGCAGCACGCCTACTATTAGATTCAGGCCATATTGATCCCAATACGCCAGGGAGACATGGCAGGACACCCATTATAAATGCTTGCATGGGCGGTTACTTGGAAATAGTGTTGATGCTCCTCCATCATTCCAATATCAACATTAACTGCACAGACCACCGGAACCAAACTCCATTATACTGGGCTGCCCGGAATGGGCACCATAGCGTAGTTAGGTTACTGCTGGCTCAGAGCGAAATAAAACCTAATATATCGGACTCTGACGACGGTACACCACTCCGCTGGGCTGCATTTGATGGCTACAACCGGATAGCAAAGATGCTCCTAGCCCGAGGCGATGTAGACCCCAATGCCGCCGATAACATGGGCCAATCACCTATCTATATAGCCGCGCAGGAAGGCCACGAAGATATTGTGCGGATGCTGCTCGCCCGGTCGGATCTCAAGCCGAACGCTCCTGACATAGACGACCAGAATGCGCTCTACTGGGCTGCCAAGAATGGTGATTGCCCAATTGTGAAGATGTTGCTAGGGCGTAGCGATACCGACCCTAATTTGGGAGACTCTGATGGCAGAACACCGCTTTACTGGGCCGTGCGCTTGGGGTACGATAGGGCCGTAAAGTATCTACTAGCCGTAGACTCTGTTGACCCCAATGTTCAAGACGCCGATGGGATTCCGCCACTCTATTGGGCCGCCTGGGATGGACGTGAGAACATTGTGAACATGTTGCTAGCCCGGCCCGATATTGATCCCAATCTAAGGAACGGTGAGGGCAGAACACCACTCTCTGTGGCTGCGGACCGTGGTTACGAGGAGGTAGTCTCACTCCTATTAGCGCATTCCAAAATAGACCCCAATCCGTCGGAAAGCGACCTCGAAACACCTCTCACTTGGGCCGCCCAGAGAGGGCGTGACGAAGTTGTTAAGCTCTTAACTGAACGAGAAGACGTCCGAGTCAATGTCCAAGACAAAACCGGTAAAACACCACTCCTTTTGGCCGCAGAGGGTGGCCACACGGAATCGGTAAGGCTACTCCTCCAGCGGCCGGATATTTGTGTCAATGTGGTTGAGAACGGAGGAGGAACACCACTGTATTGGGCTGCATGTGATGGGCAAGAGGAGGTTGTCAGGATGCTAGTTTCCTGCAAAGACGTTGACATTAACCTAGCCGGCCGCCTTGATCAGACACCGCTCCATGCAGCTGCGCATAACGGGCACTACAAGTGCATGAGATTACTGCTTGGCCGAACAGATATTAACCTCAACCTCATGGAAGAATTCGGGAATTCGCCGCTGAACCTCGCTGCGGGCAAAGGCTATGCCGAGGCTGTTAGAATCCTACTTGACCGGGAGGATGTCGACGTCAACTTGGCCGATATTGACAACTGGACACCTCTACAATCGGCGGCATATCGCGGACGGGTTGAGATAGTTAGGATGCTGCTGGAGCGGAAGGATGTTAAAATTAACGGCCTTGATTGCGGGGGTCGGACAGCACTCAATTGGGCGGCAACCAATGGGCACAAGGATATAGTAGGATTGCTATTGGAACGGTGGGACCTCGATATCAACATAGGCGATCACGTAGGGCGGACAGCAATACACTCCGCTATAGCCAAAGGACACGTAGCAGTGTTCAAAATGCTAATGGCTCACCCGGCCATCAAGATAAACCCCTACGATGATTCCGGCCGAGGGCCACTATACTACGCGGCACAGACCGGACACCTAGAAATTCTAACGACGCTACTCGCCCATCCCGAACTGGATCCGAACCAGCCGGACAATGACGGCGCCTGGCCGATCACCTGCGCCGCCTTCGCTGGACACACAAAGGTAGTCGAGATGCTCCTCCGGCATGGTGCGAAGCCGGATCTTGTCAACAAAAATAACCAAGCGGCCATATTTTGGGCCGCGTTCGGTGGGCAAGCCAAAATCGTGGAGATTTTGTTAGCCAGGAGTGACGTCGATCCCAATCGGCCGTCCAGGGGTGGTCAAACAGCACTGCTTTGTGCATCTCAAAATGGACATTTGGAGGCTGTAAAGGTGTTGCTGGCAAGAGACGATGTTATCGTTGACCTGGCGGACAGGTACGGAAATACTCCGCTCACACAGGCTCAGCTGTGTGGTCATACGGAGATCATCAACTTGCTCCGGAAGAGACTTTACACACGCGCGCCGATGGACGAGTCGGCCAGCCAGCAAGGGGGCACGTCACTAGAGGGACCAGCTAATGGCCCCTTGGGGCAGCGTCTCGGATGAACTCGGGGGGGGGGGCTCAGCATGGGAGTGACATTACGGCAGTTGGGCACAGTAAGTCGGGTCTAAGACAGACCCTTGGGCGTGATATATCAGGTTGTTGGTAGCGAACAATTAACCACAGACAACGATAAGTTTTATCAGACACTTCTAGGAAGATATCATGCGCCTCGACGAACACATCTAAACCCCGCGCAGTTTTCCTCCCCGGCCAATAACAATCGCAACCTACATCCTACTGATATATCATACCCACCATTTGCACCCTACTTACCACCTGTCAGGTAAGCCCATATCGTCCACTCAAAGTCCCCACACTCCCACACAAGACTAACCAGACCGCCACAGTGCCGGAATTTACTCATCCACGTCCATTTAACCCCGAAATTTCAATCATAAAACTTATACCTCATTCAGTTACATTCAATTCTATGTTGTTTTTATCTTCTTCTACTTCGATACTCAATTGACCAGCTTTTTATATCTCTCGTTTGTTCATGTCCCCCGTTAGTTCAATCTCTCGGATGGAATTCTCGTGGGGTGGTATATTCGTGACACAATCAATGACTTTAGTGCAATGCCTGATGCCGCTTTGATAATACCTATCAGTGATCTGATATGATACGATGCCTGGAGATGCCCGTTTTGAGCGTTGGGTGACGGGGTGCCCGGGACACAGGCTGCTAAAAAACCAATTCCGTTAATTCACCATGATATCTTACAAATTCGTAGCGGTGCAAACGCCAGACTGTAGCTAATATTATGTGATGGTACTGTACTGTACCTACGCCTATCTGCGAGCACAGGTACCGAACGAGGTGTTTCCGTAAAAGACCAGATAGCTAGTCAGCCAGCCAGCAAGGGATCGCTGCATTGTACCGTACCAAAACATCTTGCTAGCCTGGTACCGTACGCGTACCAATACTACACCGTTACTGAAGAATATTGAGTGGGGTACATTAGCCATCCCGACCATACACTAGCAGGGGCAGCACCGCACAAGAGAAGGACTCGAATAACTACCGTACTAGTATTGCCTCTGGACAAACCAACCTCACTCGAGTGCTCTACCCTCCCTGTTCTAGACGCTTTGTATCATACCCCTTGACTTTTTTCATGCTAGGGCACGTCACATGTTACTCAGATACAGTGAATCCGGAAACTACTCATAAATTTGTTTAACATATAAGAGCTCACTAAATCTGCCCAGCAGTATTCAGGTATACCGGTAGTAAAATCATGCCCCCCTCGCTGAAATCAGCCAAATCGATGCAGAAGTTAGGTCACCTTGATTCACGAAGTAAAAGAGAAAAGAAAAAAGTTCCAGAGATATCACATGAACCAATCAGTAACACTCGCTCCCCTACTTCGCCTGAATCACCTCAAGCCCTCTTCTTAACCTTACCCGAACCCCCAGCTTCAATACGCTTCGTAATCTCCCTGGAAAACCAACACGTGCACCAAGCCGGAAACGCGACCCAAAGACCATTAGGCAAGATATAAAATAGAAAAAGAGACTTAAAGTCATTACTATCCCCCTCTCAACATTAGCCCCTCCCCCATCCTTCACAGAGGGAGCAACTTACTGCGCAACATGCCTCCCCCCCGCACAAACCTCATTGAGGACATACAACACCGTCTTCGCCAACGTCATGACCACCCCCGCAAACCCCACCACCAGCATTCCGCCTCCTCCGGTGCCGCCAGCGCGAGTGGAATAATACTTGGCAAGGTACGTGATATTAACAACTGACTCGACAAGGTTCATCAAACTCTGCGCGGCCGGAAAGCCGTCATTCTCGGCGAAGGCGCTGGGGCCGTAAACATGGTCTATCGTGGCGTAGAAGGTGTGGCCAGGCCAGAGGTAGGAGAGGGGGTTGGGGGGAAAGGTGTATGGACGGAGGAGGATGTACATTGCATCCTGAGGGGCGAGAGGGTGTTAGTAAGGTGCAGAAAAAGGGGGAAGTGGGGAGAGGGGGGGTTACGTAGATCACTACTATGGTTGAGAAGAGGATCCAAATGGGGATTGCCTTGGGGGTGTCGCGGGGTACGGGCATGGTGAAGGTTGAGGGTGGAGGAGGTTGTGGTGGTGGATTTTCTTGGGAATCGGGGTTGTGGGAAGGAAGGGAGGAAGGGGTGGTGAGGAGCGATTTATACTACAACGTCCCCACACGCAGCGGCGCTGACTGCATAATCCCTGTAGGCTTGGTCGCTCTTTTGCATACTCCAGCGGCCCGAGTGCAGTATTGTACTAAGGGCGCAGTACCGTCTCCGACAGATACGCTACAAAGCCAGAAACAAAAGCATAGATTGACGAATGCCAATCGTATCCAAACGGCGCCTGCAAACCTCTCATAGTGCCCGTACTATTCGAGTACCGTACCGGTACCGTACCGGCACACCCAGTGCTCAATCCACCACAACTGCCCGCTGACACCTGCGTTCGCTGAACACGCCCCAAAACAGAGCTGTGCCGCTCACGGGTGATTTGGGCAGTCTTAGGATCAATAGTTGCCTAACAGGTTGATCTGTGACGGGGATGTATTTCCCGGTACGTGCGGGGGAGGTCTACATGTCGGCTGTTGCATACGGCACTAGAACCAACCCGATGGTGTTACGATTGTTCAGGCTTGGGATTGTGCTGTGAAGCACCTCGACTCCGCCATCGTGCTACCCCAGATATCTTTGCTTGCAGATGGAGTACTCGAGTAGAGGATGCTGTACTCGAGTACTGTACTAGTGCTTAGGGTGCGCGCAAAAGCCTTTCGAACTCCTGGCACAGTACCGGTAGCTGGAGCAAGGCTGGAGCAAATACTGCTCCTTAAGTAGCCGAGAAGGCCCTAGCGCCAATTAGAGTGAGTTTGGTAGACTTACCCATAACACACGGCACTTTCATAGCAAGCTACCGTAATGAAATTTACTCGAGTATCGTGGATTTATGATTGGGAGTTAACTTAGCGACCTCCAAAGATAGTGGGTCGTTTCCTGGTTATAACCATTAAGTCTCGTATATGTGGTTTCATTTTACCGTAATGATCACAACTTAGCAATCTAGAAAGCCATTTTCTCCTCTATGGGAATGGTCTGCGATCCAGATTTTTCCAAATTCCTGCAGGAGTCCTCCATTATAATATGATATTATATGTCGACAACCTTCGTGGGCGTGGCCAATAGGTCCGCCCTGTATAGACCGGCCCCTCTCCACACGTTACTGGGGTACCTCCCATACCACAACGCGCCGCTGGACTGTACATCGCAGCATGTTTCACCAACATCGGTACCGGTAGTCGGTAAACTACAGTATTCTGGTGATTAGCGTGGGTTTCATTTTACCGCAGCCCGCGTTTCCTCGTGCTCCGGAAATCTAGAAATGGAGTATCGAGCGATCAAAGGTTGAAAACGATTGGAGTAACTAATGAGATATCGGCGTAGACTAGCCTAACTCACTACCGGAAGATTTTGGGAGGGCGGATAGCAAGCTTGCGGGAACTTTAATGTACTGTGAGAATATCCAGGCTACTACTTGTTGCCAACAAGATGGAATTACCCCTGGGGAATTGTTTACTCCCACTACGCAACTCCACAACCTCCCTTGCACAGTACCATACGGTAGCCTCCTCTATAGGCTATATTTCCAGAAGAATATAGTGCCTACTAGCTGCCTGCTCTAGTATAGTAGCTTATCCTTATTCTTATCTACAAATTAATATGCACAGTAGACTTTCTCACCCATCCTTATCCCCGTGTATTCCTATTTCCCCAGGATATATCTCCAGCGATCTCAAACCCATTACGCCACGTACGGTTAACCTTCAAGTTATCTCTGGATCACCTATTAGAGTTTCTACAATATCCTCACAGCCCAACATTGCACCCTCTCTCTTGCCTAATGGGAGAGGGTTCTCGCCGCCCCCCAGTATACGGCTACTCAGAAGGATGTGCTGAACCCAAGCAATGAAGAAAGGAACTCACTTATGATACAAAACATCTCGGGGAACGAAAACCATTCAGCGAGAAAAACACTACAGTGTGCCAAGAGTTCTTATATGGGAGTAAATGCCTACACTCGAGATCTCGAGTGGGGGGGCCTTGGTGCAGGTAGCTGTAAACATCATACCATACAAATACAAGCAAAGCTGGGTTAAGTTATCCAATCAGACCACATGATAGTACCGCACGGTAGTTGCCTCGCTCACACCTTAGTCCTAAGCAGGAGGAGGTAATGGAGGAAGCACCACAAGGGGGTTCCCGACCCCCTAAGGCGGGGGTCTAGGACACTGTGACGCTTCCTTGGTTTCCCAGGGCTGGCACGCGCCTCCCGAGCACTCGGGAAAGGCGGCCGGAAGGTAAGGTAGGCAGAGACACCGCACCGACCAGGCACAACAGCTAGCCAAGCCAAAAAGGGGAGTTAGCATAGACACTAGAGGTATAATACTATACCGTGTGGTGTCTTACCGGTAGTACTGCATATTACAGTGCAGAAAGCAATTGTCGTTATGGTATTACGGTACCGAGTTAATTCAATCAGGTAGCCCCCCACCCTAGTCTACATCTAACTTATGCCCCTATTGCACCGTCCTGTCATATTTTACAAAAAAAAAAACGGCTAACTGTTCAGACCATCCTACGGTCGTAGCCCCATGCCCATAACCCGATTACATTTTCCCTCTTGCGTGCCGGGAGCAGACTCCTATTGCTCGCCAAAAGCCCAACGATCCTGGAAACATGTGTGGAATATCAGCAAGTACGATATATCACGAGAAAAGAAATGTACAGGTAAAACGCCTGAGGGAGAAAATCATTACCCTACAGTAGGCAAACCACTAAAGGGATTCCAAAGATTGGGGGAGGGGGTACCGACCCGAGCAGGGGACTTGTTGGTCGTACATCTACGGACTTACTATGATATGATACTAAAGCTGGATATTGTCTCTAAGACTGGGCTATAAGATCATGACATGTTCATCGATGGCCCCCCGTCTTGACCTACGGTTGTGTCCATACAGTTCTTATACCGTAGCCTTCCTTCTGCCCCGAGCACAAGGCTTGCAAACAGCAATGGAGAAAGAAGATCCTTTTAGGTAACCGGCATTGGGTATGTCCCTAGCCACATTGCCATAGTTTATCAATATTTGATTCTTGCTAAGTAAGAGCGGGGGAGGGCTAGTGGTGAAGCGTTTCCATATACTAGTTAGTAGTGCTCGGGGTATGGAGTGCCGGTACGAGCACCTTGCCGACACAGCTTAGTAGTATATATTTTACCATTCAACTGGACTCCTCAAGGGCACTTAGGCATAGGAATGTGCTGTACACCACATCGACATTGCTAATATGCATCAGGGAGAGAAAAAAAAACCCCCAGCCAGCAGCCTCCTTTCCGAGGAGACACTAGAAAAAGGTGTAAGGAAATTTCGAGGTTGATTGTCGGGTGAAACACATTTGAAATCAGCTAGAACTAGCCTGTCAAGACACCGCCCACTCCTACGGGTATTATGCACAGTACGGTATTGTACCCATCAGACTGGGTGAGGTTGTGACGAGCATATGGTATCCACAATACCTCTACACGCCGGACCCCAGATCTCGCCGGAGAGTTCAAAGCGATTCAAAATACTGACAATATGTACACCACTGTACGATATGATACACAGCCCCAGCCAGACCTGAACACCAATCAGTCGATAAAATCAAAATCTGAACCCAACTTTTCTTCTCCATCCTACTGCTATTCCGTCCACATCCCATTCCCGGGGGACAATATATCATACCAACCATCTATAATATCATACCATTGACCCAAGAAATCCGGGCTGGTATGACGCAGCAAACCATTCTCGACCACCCAGAGTTCGGATTCCGATAATGAGGCGCACCCACTGCGAGAAACCTGGGATGGAAACATACGAGTACAGCGCAGTGGGATTTTTGCACCATCGGTAACCGAGTCCGGGCTAGGGACCTTCAATCGCTGGTTTAGTACGGCACAGTACTACCAGATAGTGAGAAAGGCACTGACCCCACTGAGTTCGAGCAAAAAAGGTTGTGAAGTGGTGAATGACATGCGGCCCTGACTAAAGATATGGTATTACCAAGACCTAACGTTGGCGTCTCTTCCCCACCTTCCTCCCCACAATTCCGCTGCAGAAGGCGCATGCATTGTCAACTGGGCTGTCGGGACACCACACTGCGAGTGACAACCCATGATATCCTATGCTCAGACAAAGCACCACACTTCAAACCGATTATTATGCCGGCACCAGCTTCAGCCAAACCAAAGGTGAAAGAGAAGAAAGGGAAAGGTAAAATCCAAGGAAGTAATAATACATCAAGACCAACTTAGGCCACCATAAACTAGGGCAGACAGAAGTGCCGGATTTTTCCCATAAGCATCGTAACCATGGTTAAGATGTAACAGGAAGAACTATCTATAGCTCCAACGGCAAAAGTGAGGACAAAAGAAAAAGAGGGAAAAAGAGCCCAAGAGAGTCGTAGTAAAGGAGAAGAAGGAAGCCTTTATATACACAATCTAAAAACAAAAAAGGAGCCATCACGTTATGTTACGTTCATATAATGAGGTGAGATTTCTGAACCCAAGCCTGGCCTACCCTCCATCTCCTCCATCCCTCCCTTTTCCAGCGCCAATCACCTACAACAAAGCCTTCAGCCCAACCGCCCAAACCCCCGCCGCGGCGCCGACAATCCCACTGCTGACAAGCATAGGTCTAACCCCCCTCGTGCTCTTGAAAATCGCTCCGGCCACGACGCCACTAACAACACTATTCGCCGTATCGTGTTTGCCACGTATCCTCCCGACCAGGTAATTGACCCCATTATAAACGAGGGCTAACACACCAGCGCTGTTACCCAGAAAGGGCCCCCGTCGAGTTACCGCGTTGAGCACCGCGTTTAGGCGTAGTCGTGGTGGGGCGTTAGGTGGTGACCTACTTAGCCCCTCGGCGAAGCCCCATGCCCCACCGAGGGACAGGGCAAGGAGGTATGTGGTGCCGGTGCCGTAGCAGAGGTCATCACCGAAACCGCGGGACGGGAGGGCCGTTTGTGAGCCGGGGAGGGTTGATAAAGCGGTTTCTTCTAGGTCCAGATACGAGAGGCCTTCGTCTAGTCCCGCGAGCGGGTGCAGGGCTGCTGGGTCGGCAACAGCAGGGGTAAGGAAGGAACTAACAGAGGAGATGCCTGATGGGTCGAAAGTGTTTTGCCGTGCGAAAGTTGTGGTTGGGGCGGTGTCACCGCCATCTGAGGGGGGGTCGGAGGAGATGGTGGTAGTGCCCGCAGTGCCGAGCTGGCGGGTGGTTTTTCTGCCGGTAAAATTGTCCCAGAACGACATCTTGCTTGATTTTTTTCGGTATTTCTTCCCTGCTGAATTATTCGACTGTTATTCCTCTTCTCATGAATTTTGTTCCGCTTCCCGTTTTTTACTTTTCCGCTGTGTCTGTGTGATTCCCCCCGCGCAATCCTTCTCCACAAAAAGCGTAAAAGAGTGAAAACGTGTGTGGGGGTTTGGGAAGTCTTTAGTGAATGGAGGAGGGGTCGATGGAAGGTGGAAAGAACTGGTGGGACGAGACGGCGAGGTAGGAAGTTAAAAGCTCCGGGGAAATTTTCCAAAAGTCCAGAATCACGTGCGGGCTGTTACCCGGTTTATTAGCCTTTCCAGTTTTTTTTTTTCTCCTCTTCTACGGTACCTATGTCAACGATCAGGGCTTTCGGCGCCCACGGCACGAGTTTTCGGATGGTATGGAATACCGGTGCCGCAGTTGTTAGGGTCGGGAGATTATTGTTTTTCCGTTTGCGCGCCAAGACTTTTAGAAGTTTTCTCTTTTGCGCCATAGCGATGAGCTTGCGGATGCCCCAGCTTGTGATTTACGTGTCTGAGGCTCCGTTAGCTAAATCCCAGTCTCTCGAGTGACAAGGAGTGAATCAGCAGATGGGAACGCCGGAGAAGCCATAGCGAACGGCAAAGGGTCAATGGACAGTTGTTGGTTCCCATTTAACGAGGGTAAGATCACAACATTCTGTATAAATCCAAAAGTTACGGTATTAATAAAAGGATGTTACTCGAGTATGAGCCCCAGGATATATCGGTCTTTTTTTCCAACTCAAGAATCAAGCTACTAATACACTACAATGCATGCTTACTGTAAAAAATTTCCCCATCAACCCACCATATCATTTTGTTTGCCATATCAGCACTCGCCGTCCAACATCCCTGCGCGAGCCGAAATAGCAAGCGCGACTATAAAACTACAGCATAATCGAGAAAGACATAGAACAACCGGGATCCTCCCAGAGTCGACAAGTAAGTGACAAGAGAAACAACCTAAATACAACTGAAAGGATCGAAAGGCCACATGCAAAGGAAAGAAATAAAAACGGAGCAACATAATAGCCAAGAACCAATGGTACTGGATTGACTACGGAGCTACATTTTTAGAACTAGGGTAAGCTATGGGGTCAGAAAGAGCATCATGAGGGAAGGGGGATCCTAAAAGGCTCCGACTTCGTAGTTTTCCTATAAAATGGCAGTCAGCGCAAGATATGCAAGAGCAGGGACGGGATAGGTACCTCTGAGAAATAAGTACAGACAACAGTTCTATCAGCAAACTTTCTTCCGGCGAGAGAACGTAGGGCGTTGGACGCAGATTCCTGAGTTTCAAACCGAACGAAGATCTATCGGGATTAAGCCATTAGCTTATTACTTCCCGGTTGGGATCAAACACATTGTTACAAACCTTGCCGACACCAGCTGCTTGTCTACTACCCCCGCTAGGACGGGGAACCTTCATGTCAACAAGTGATCCAAATTTTTGGCATTCATCACGGATATCTTCGCATATTTCTATCTTCTCTGTCAGCATCTGTTGGCTGGGCATCAAAAACCAGAGAAAGCTTACCATCATATTCTTCAGGATCGAGCAACTCATCAGCAGTCACCATATTAAGCAATTGCAATACACGGCTGGCTTCAAGATCCACACTAGTTGTGCCAGCCATCATAGCCATTGCGTTGACGCCCATCTCGACACCAGCCGCCTGTTTCATGCCAATGGAAGCACGTCGTACTCGAAGGGTATTATCGGCAATTTCCATACCGTTAAGTCCTTCCACGGCTATTTCAGTGGTCCCAGGATCAAGGTATTCACAAAAGGCGATTCCCTAAATTCGAAAGAGATAAAATATTAAGGTTAATAGCTGTACTTTCTGATAAATAGTGGTTTGGTTAATTAGCAGCCAATCGGAATTGGGGCTTGTTCCTCTTGCTTTTGAGATTAAAGGTGGGAGCGGGAATGCGGTTAGTTTCTATCTACCTTAGATGTCTCGTCAGTCATATCTTTGACGAGAACGAATGCTTTCAAATCCCCGAAACTCTTCAATAACTCAATAACCTGTTCATCCTGCAAATATTCGGGTATTTCCGAAATCAATATCTTGTTAGGCGTGTCAGGAACGTCACTTGATATTACTCCAGGCTCTTGGTGACGGTGGTCTTCAGACACAATGGGGACAATATAATCCCTTGGACGCTTGATCTCAATATTACCACCGTTAAATTCGATTCCAGAGAGTGCCAGACAAACTGTAGCATCATTGGTATTTTTGAATTCAAGAAGACCTAACGTTTTACTCCCCGAAAGCTGTACTGAAGTTATTGGGTCAGGGCCGCCTGTTGTGACATTAAGGGATGAAAGGGTCCGGTTGAAAAATTGCAATAACGATTCTTCATCAGTGCCAGGAGAGATATCGCTCATAAGGAGACGTTTTGCTTGGCGAGAGTTGGTGGGCTTCAAAGTAGATGCTGTTGCTACGTTACTAGGTTGGGTCATGAATGCATGAAGCCTGGTTGGATCCATGGGTGCCTGCCTGGGAGCACCGGGCAACGGAAACATTCCTACAGAATCGAGTCAGTCTTAGACCCCAATGACATGAAGAGCAAATAACTAACCAGAAAGTTTAGCCTGTTCGGCTGTGACGTTTTCATACCCCTGAGGCTTGATATCCCACATGGTCATCCTGCGCTTCCTCTCGTTGATGGGAGTAACATCAGTCAAATCTGGTGTCGGCTCTCTCTTCTTGACCGGCGGAGTCGCAGATCGCTTCCTAACGGGATAAGCATCTGCTGCCGCCGTGCTTCTTCCACCACGAGGCTCATCGTATCTCGGATTACGTTCGCCGCGTCTATCCCCGCCGCCACCCCTTCTCCTCTCTCTCTCATAATCACGGTCACGTCCTGCATATCTATCGGTATCGCGATCGCGCTCTCTGTAGCGATCAGCTCTATCAGTTTCGAAGTAATCATCCCTACGGGATCTACCACGATGTGGGGAGCGAGAACGGTCACGGCGTCCCGTACGTTCTCTGTCCCTATCCCCGCGATCCCGATCGCCTCTACTATCCCTATCTCTTTCCCGACGATGATCAGTCCCCTACAACTAAGGGTTAGAAAAGGTAACTATTCCAAACAATCCAAAGTTGGATGATTAAAGATGTGCCAAATACATACGTGATAATCACGGCCATAACCATGCCGATCTGCGAATTCAGAAGAAAGCGAGCATTAGCAAACAATCAAAATTAGGAAACGCGCTGAATAGATGCAAAAAAAGGAGGGGAGGAGGGTAATCAAACATACCACTACCGCGGGAAGAATAGGAATCACCGTTCATATTTGAAATAAGCTTGCTTGTTTGCTGATATCGTCGTTCGAAAAACTTGATTTTTTTTTTCTCAGGCTGGAGGTGACAGTGCTAAGGCTGTCTTCTGTTAGAAAGCAAGTTGGACACCGTTAGGAGTCGGAATGCTTTCGGCCAATGACAGAGAGAAAGTGATGAAGAAGGCTGGGCTGCTTGGTCTCTTGGACCTTTGGGCTGAGTGGACGATGATGGGAGGACGCGGAGGAGAAAAGGGAGATGGTGTTTGTTGAGTGGCCAGAATGGGAGGGCCTCGCCAAGAGCCACCAGGACACCAAAAAATACCGTATGCACTGCCGGCCTCGATTGTTCCGGGTAACATGCGACGGGAAAACCCAGGGCACGGGCAACAATGATGTATAATATTTGTAGACGTTTTATACAACAGAATTTCATTTGTCTCCCATTCTTGTTGATCCCTCTTGCTCAACTCGATCGCTCTTTTCATTAATGTTTGCTCACCCCCTTTCTCGCCGTCTGCTCTCCGCAGCTCCTAGCAAACATCTTCGTTCCGTGGTCACCCGCGTCGCAGTTCTCAATTCGACTCCCACTAGCCTTAACTCTCCTCCACCGCAGAATGATCAGTTGAGCTCAGAGCCAGTAACCCATTTTGGCTTTCAGACCGTGAAAGAGTCGCTCAAGGCCACAAGAGGTATAGCATCCTGGTAGATTTGTGTTTTCTGAAAACCAAGTAGTTGACAAATTAAACCGATAGTCGCTGAGGTCTTTTCTTCCGTCGCTTCCTCGTATGACACAATGAACGATGTTATGTCCTTCGGAATCCATCGCCTTTGGAAGGACCATTTTGTTCGCTCTCTCAATCCTGGCCGTAGGCCGGGCGGCCGTCCTATGAGTATTCTTGACGTGGCCGGCGGGACAGGAGATATTGCCTTCAGAATGCTGGACCACTCTGAGAAGGCTAACGGTGACCGCGGAACCACTGTTCTGTGCGCGGATATCAATGCAGACATGTTGAGAGAGGGAGAGAAACGCGCAATTCAGAATGGATATGATTGTACGAGTCCGGGCGTGTAAATCTCATCCAATGAAGGAAGGCTAATCTCAGTTACCACACTCCAGCAAACCGAATCTCCTTTTGCCTTGAAAACGCCGAGACTCTTGATAGCATCCCTGACAATTCAATCGATCTTTATACCATCTCATTTGGCATTCGAAATGTCACCCGCATTCCCATGGCTTTAAGATCCGCTCACCGTGTCCTCAAGCCTGGTGGCGTCTTTGCCTGCCTTGAATTCTCTAAGGTTTCTCCGGCATTTCTTGATGCGATTTACCAGCAATATTCATTTTCCGTCATTCCTCTCATGGGACAATTGGTTGCAGGAGATAGGGATAGTTACCAATACCTTGTTGAGTCTATCAAGCGCTTTCCTTCGCAGTCAGAATATGCGAGAATGATCAGGGATGCTGGATTAGTGAATGTTGGAAAAGGATACGAAGAACTGACGTTCGGGGTTGCGAGTATCTGGAAAGGCGTAAAACCACTGGAATAGATGGCTTATCCCTGTACCTCTGTCCTCTCGAACTCTTCCTTGCGCCGCCAGACGTGCGGACATAACTTTCCTGTGGGTATTTCGTTTCCAATGTAATCCTCTAAAACCGAGTGATTTAATGTGACCGCCGCAATCTGGCATACAGTACTGTACCGACACTGTACAGTACTAGAGCGTCCTAAAGGAATATAGCTCTACTAGAATTTAGCCTATTTTGGATGGAATGCCCATACATGATACCGGTGCATAGTGACTTGGATGTATGACAGAACCAGCTTAATAATTAATGGTATGATACGTATCAGATATGATAACTCGCATAGACCACTCGAATAGAGGCGATAGGGCTGGTAAAAAAAATTGCTCCATAATATCCGCCCCCCACATAAAGTCCGGTAGAGTACCGGTATCGGTCTTACCCTCAAAACATAATCCAGCACTCGCTTACTGCCCGGAGGGAGGGGAAGCCTGCCGCCATCCCGCACCGGATTATCAGGATCACTATGATAGGTTCCAAGGTAGCCCGTCTCGTTTCCCCTTCTCTTACAATTTTCTTTTAGCATTGTTATTCAAGATAAACCCAACCGGTGGGGGGAGGTTAGATTTGGGTTTAGTCAAAGAGGTTTGTCCTTGGTATCATGGTTTACAAGTAACTTAGCAGCGGGGGAGGAGAATTTCGGGCGGTCATCGACCCGGAAAAACATTTCTGTGGGATGAGAGCGTGTTGGCACCATCATACCTGATATCTTGGCCACGGTATCAAACCGTAGGCTGGCAAGCCAGCATGATGAACAAACGCGAGGAGAAACCCCCGACTAGGTGGTTAGGTAATCAAGGGAGGGTGTGAGGAGGAGGAGGCATACTCGAGTTGTACTCGTATTGTAGATTAGACTACAGTATCCCCCAACCACCACCGGAATCGCAAGGAAGGGAAGAAAAACGTAAGATTGGAAATATAATAGAAAAGGAGAGAGGGAGAGAGAAAAAAAAAATAGCCGAATAAACTGTCAAGTGCATCACACTCGAGCGGACCGCTGAACAACGACCCCGGCCTTGCCCTCTCCCCCACCTACTGATCAAAAAAGGGTTATTTCTTACACGGGGCCTGCCGTTAGCCTTACTAGTAGTTCTGATACAAAGGTCGACGTCGTCCGCCCCGTCGCCTATCTCCTTTCGCTTCACCTCCCCATCCTTCTCCACTTGTTTTCTTCACCTTCTTCCATCTATCGTCTCGTCTACTCCCTACTTTACCCGATATACAAAGAGGAATAGCAGAGATGACCGACAGCGTCAAGACTCAATACCAATGGCTTAGCCAGCTCAACGTCGACCATGTTCCCGCCGAGAGGAATTTCAGGAGAACCTCAATTATCTGTACAATTGGTATGCGTCTCGATCCGTTCTCCCTTGCCGGTGGGCTTGTTAATAAATCATTCCTTGTCGATAGGTCCTAAAACGAACTCGGTGGAGTCTATCAACAAGCTTCGCAAAGGTACTGAATTCGTCCATTACCCCGCCCCCCCCGCTTGTTCAATGTTTGCTAACAGATATTCAACACAGCCGGCTTGAACATAGTTCGCATGAACTTTTCCCACGGCTCATATGAGGTAATTCTCCCATCAACCCTGATTTTAGCTCAACCCCCGCAATATTGTGCTCCTGGCTACGGTCGTCTTTATGATGGGATTCCTGGGAGTGGGGGGTGTTGGCGTTAGTGTTTAGGTTTTGTTATCGGAGCTGATAAGCGGACCTACAGTACCACCAAAGTGTCATCAACAACTCGAGGGAGGCTGAAAAGCAGCAGCCCGGCCGGCCATTGGCCATCGCCCTTGATACCGTACGTTCTCACCAAGGGGGAAATTTCATCCTTGTAGATTTCTTGGACGCATGCAGTCTGAGAGAAAATGGGTGTGTGGGGTATCTACTAAATTATCCTGCAGAAAGGGCCCGAGATCCGTACTGGTAACACCAAGGGAGATGCCGACCTTCCTATCTCTGCTGGCGCAGAAATTATTATCACCACAGACGACAAATATGTTACCTCCTGCACGGAGGATATTATGTATGTTTGGGCTTGGTTCTGTTGAACCAATAATTTAATCTTTCTCGCTAATATGGTCCAATTTTTAGGTATGTTGACTACAAGAACATCACGAAGGTGATCGAGCCCGGTCGCATTATCTACGTTGACGATGGTGTCCTTTCGTTTGAGGTCCTGGAGGTCACCGATGAGAAGAATATCAAAGCTCGTTGCCTCAACAACGGCAAGATCTCATCTAAGAAGGGTGTGAATCTTCCCAAGACGGACGTTGATCTCCCTCCTCTATCCGAGAAAGACAAGGAAGACCTTCGATTTGGCGTGAGGAATGGTGTTCACATGGTCTTCGCGTCATTTATTCGTCGTGGCTCTGACATTACCGCGATTCGTGAAGTTCTGGGAGAAGCTGGAAGGGAGATTCAGATCATTGCCAAAATTGAGAACCAACAGGGTGTGAACAACTTTGATGAGATCCTCAGGGAAACCGATGGAGTCATGGTTGCTCGCGGTGACCTCGGTATTGAGATCCCGCCTGCCCAGGTGTTCATTGCTCAGAAGATGATGATTGCCAAGTGCAATCTGGCTGGGAAGCCCATTATTTGTGCAACCCAGATGTTGGAGTCCATGACATACAATCCTCGCCCCACCCGCGCTGAAGTCTCAGACGTTGGTAATGCAGTGCTTGATGGTGCAGACTGTGTTATGTTGTCCGGCGAGACCGCCAAGGGTAATTACCCAATTGAGTCTGTTACAATGATGCACGAGACCTGCCTACTCGCAGAGACCGCTATCAGCTATGTTCCGCTGTTTAACGAACTCCGTGGGTTGACCAAGAGACCAACCGGGACAAGTGAGACCTGCGCTATAGCGGCTGTCAGTGCCAGCGTTGAGCAGGAGGCCAGTGCTATCATTGTTCTGAGTACTAGGTATGATCACACCATCATTTTAAACACATCCGGATCTGCTGATTCCCTTATCATAGTGGGTCCACTGCCCGCTTGATCTCGAAATATAGGCCAAGCTGCCCAGTTCTTATGGTGAGTAAATTCCTACCATCCCGAATACCGATTGTCCTGACTCCTAGAAAATAGATTACCCGGAATGCCAACGCTGCCAGATATTCTCACCTATATCGTGGCGTTTATCCATTCGTGTACCCCAAGCCTAAGCCCGACTTCAACCAGGTGATATGGCAAGAGGATGTTGATGAGCGTCTGAGATGGGGAACTAGTGAGGCCATCAAACTCGGACTCGTTAAGGCTGGAGATACTATCATTGCTGTCCAAGGATGGAGGGGAGGATTGGGTAACACCAACACGTATGTGGATCACTTTGTTATGTTCTGCTTTCGGCTCCTCTGCGACTCCCTCTTTTCCCATTCTCTCCTCATAGCAATATTCAGGAAAGAGGGAAGGAGTCAGGGCAGGTTTGACTTTTTGAGGTGGACACTGATTCTTGATACTTAGTCTCCGCGTTCTGAATGCCAAAGAATGAAAATCTCACACGTGGAATAAACTACCCACCAGCAATAGTAGGGATTAATGGGCGTGATAAGTACTGCAATAATAACTTGTGTAGTATTTCTAGTGCTTGTGGATCTTCATTGATAGTTTCCAACTGTTCTGATTAGGTGCAATTAAATTTTCATCGGCTCACTGATTGTGCGCTCTGATAACCTATGAGTGGGCTTTTGTCTAACTAAGTGATGCTGTATTCTACAAGTGTGAATGCGTGGCTAGCTCCTGGGCATCTGCCGCTGCTCCCACCAGACAGCAATTTTTGCAATAATGGCCATTTAATTCTTGGTGCGCTGCTATACATACTCAATCGATTCAATGTTGGTTATACCACGACCGGTATTGTTGTCCAAAGTAGGCCAGAGAGGTGTTTGAAGCGGGTACTGTGGGATAGGTTGATTACATATCTATGCTCCTCGGTCCCATGTCGTGCGCTGTTGGGGCGGTAGATTTAGGCTATTGGAGCTTTCCCCGGCTTCCGCTCCGGGCCCAAGCGTATGACATCATCAGAATCAGTATCACTAGGGCGAAATATACGACCCTAAGGGCGGGGTTTCCAGTGTATAGGTCTGGTATCGGACCGCGCTCGCGCCCGCATGAACGATATTGAGTGCATGCCAGACATGAAAATCACCAGTGGTCCAGCCAGGACCAGCCTCGAGTGACAGCCCGTGACCACGGTGCAAGTTTTTTTTTCCGTGGGCGTATGATACCGCGGGGCATTGGTGGAATACGCTCTTCTCGGATAAACCCCACAACGCTATTGCCTTGTATCTGGGCATGGCAGTGCGACCCGCAATTCATTAATCCATCCATCCCCTCAACCCGCTCCGGCACAGTGGCAGGAGGGCACTCGCAGTCCCAGAGGCATCGGCTAAACCCTCGGCTAAACTCCCTGGATTCCACGACCCCTGCCCCTCTTTTGTTAGAGCGATCTTTCGCCCAGCAACGTATAAACCCAGCGCCACCTCAAGCATAGCAAAATGTACTGCCTGCAAGGAGAAGGATATTACCCCCCTCTTCCGACACGAAATGTCACCATCGCTACCATCATTAGAACAACTATACCTAGGCCTGGACCTCTCCACCCAGCAGCTAAAATGCCTAGCGGTCACGGGTTCGTTGTCGGTGACGCACGAGGAGATAGTAACCTTCGACAGCGACCTCCCGCACTATGGCACGAAGAAGGGCGTGCACATGGATTCCGCGCTGAATGAGGTTACCGCTCCGGTGGCAATGTGGATCGAGGCGCTGGATTTAACGCTTAGCAGGATGAAGAGGGCCGGGTTCGAATTTGAGAGGGTGAGGGGGGTGAGTGGTGCAGGGCAGCAGCACGGGAGTGTTTTTTGGAGTGAGGAGGCGGAGGGAGTGCTGGGTGAGCTGGATGCCAAGAGGGGGCTCGTGGAGCAATTGGTAGGGGAGGGGGAGGGGAGGGAGGGAGTGTTTACTTGGGACAGGTCGCCGAATTGGCAGGATCATAGTACGCAGGCTCAGTGCGATGCGTTTGAGCAATGTGTGGGGGGTGAGGAGATATTGGCGGGGATTACAGGATCGAAGGCTCATCACGTATGTACCCCCAATATCTGGAGGAGTCGACTGACCGGGTGTGCGGTGTAGCGATTCACGGGTCCGCAGATCTTGCGCTTTTATCAACGGTTTCCGGGAAGGTATGAAAGGACGAGCAGGATTTCTCTTGTCTCGAGCTTCCTTTGCAGTTTGTTTCTTGGGAGGATCGCGCCGATCGATGTAAGTGATGTGTGTGGTATGAACCTCTGGGATATGAGGAGCAATTCATGGTCTGGGGAGCTGCTTAATCTGTCTGCGCCGGATTTGAGATCGAGGCTTGGGGAGGTGGAGATGCAACCGGGTAAGCATTTGGGTCCGGTTTCGGGATACTTTGTTGAGCGGTTTGGATTCCGTGAAGGTGAACTATTTCCCGAGTGATATTTTATGATGACCTTGTGGTGACGAGGGAATGGCAGAATGCGTAATAACACCGTTTACCGGCGATAACCCATCTACAATCCTTGCACTGCCACTACGCCCACTAGACGCAATCGTCTCCTTGGGAACCTCTACTACACTACTCATGGCGACACCAACCTATGTCCCAAGCCCAAGCTATCATCTCTTCAACCACCCGACGGACAGAGAGCTGTACATGTTTATGCTCTGCTACTGCAACGGTGCCCTCGCGCGGGAGAGGATTCGAGACGAGATCACTTCCACCTCCACCCCTACCTCCGACCCGTGGGGAGAATTCAACGAAAAAGCCCTCTCAACCCCACCCCTGGGCAAACGCTTGAAAACCGACGACGCAAAACTCGGAATCTACTTCCCTGTCCCTGAAATCGTCCCCAACGTCGGTGCAGGAACGTGGCGCTACCGAATCTCCCCAACCGGCGACCTCAAGAAAGTTGAAACCTTCGACTCGGGCATTGAAGCCCGTGCGATCATAGAAAGCCAGGCACTATCGATGCGCCTCCGTGCGAACCCCCTCCTGTCGACCTCAACGCCGGCCCAGCCGCGAAGGGTCTACTTGGTTGGCGGTGGCAGCAAGAACCCTGCCATAGCCGAGGTCCTCGGGCAGGTGCTTGGCGGCAAGGAGGGCGTGTACAGGCTCGACGTGGGCGGGAATGCGTGCGCTTTGGGCGCGGCGTATTACGCTGCTTGGGCCGTTGAGGGGAGGAAAAGAGATGGAGAGGAGGAGGGATTTGGGGACTTTGTGGCGGAGAGGTGGGAGGAAGGGGGACGGATTGTTAAGGTTGGGGAGGGGTATGAGGAGGGGGTATGGGAGGGGTATGGGGATGTGCTGGACGCTTTTGAGGAGGTTGAGAGGAGGATCGGGAGGGAGGAGTAGTGTTGCGGCGGTTGGGAGCGGTTTGTATGCCGTACCGGTATACCGGTATTGGAGAAGGAGGGGGGGATTAACTTAATTATTCTTGCCGAGGGGTTTGATTGTACGAGTACTCTACAGTACAAGTACTTGTACGGCTATCCTGGCGTCAAACGGTATCCATCCGTTCCCCTCGGGCCACTGCAGAAGACTAGCGAGAAATGAAACCTTGGGGTCCTTTTTTTTTCCGCTTTCTCAATACCGGTAGTACGGCAGTTTAGCTTGCGCTCTTACCGGTATTTCTTATCCTCCGCCACATCACGGGGTCCGGCGGCCCAGGGCTCTTAGGCAGAATAGCATGCTACATCCTGTAGGAGTGAAAGGTGCCGAGTTTCCCTCCACGATATCATACACTAAATATTTACCGACGGTATTGCTCTTGATCGGGGACTAGAAGGGGGAGGTAACGTGCTGCGATATATAAAGCACTATGTCTGACACGGCGGAACGTGAACTAGGCTCTGATACTGGAGCATACAGGTCAAAAAGGGTTTCGCTGGATGCCCTGTTTGCGCCTAATGCTTCCATATTGTTCAGCGCCACTGGGAACGCTAAATCCGTATGGAAAACGATTCAGAGTTCCGAGGAGGCATATGCTGTGGAGGAGATGTGAGTTGTGGAGGGCATGAGATACCGGTATTCTGTTGGTACGGTTACCGGTGCTTTTATGTATATTTCGCGTGGGGCCGCATGCCATGCAAAACCCAGAGCCGCTTTTCTTATGCAATTGAAGATGATTGGGGCAATTCTTTTCCGGGTGAATGAGTGTGGAGTGATTTCCTAGCCGGTGGTGAGGTTCTAGCTATTATTATTTTTCTTTTTTATAACGGGGTAACGTTTGGGGATGTAAAAACGGGTGTCGGACGAGAGCTCTTGACTTGGGGTACTCGTAGCGCTGAGTTCTGTGGGGAGATTGGGGACTACGAATACCACTAGACTACCGGTAAGTGGTATCACCACTGCAGGAGGTAATATATCAGCGTGACGGTGTGAGGCAGAGCGATCCCCGCATTCCAACAGCACTGGTATCTTGTCTCCTATTGTCTTGACTTGCGCAGCAGTCATCGCCTTCCCATCCTCCCATCCCGCCTCACGGGCCTCTCTAGCCTTACCCCGCTTCAACTGCCTACGTGGTTGGATGACAAGGCATTCGGCCTCAAACAGACAATATCTTTGTGAGTGGAAATGCATCCTGCCAGCGCAGCGATCTGTGGCACTCGCTCGCAGAAGGGCAGAAGGGCGGCATGGAATACAATCCCGCGCGCTCGATCGTCACCCGACGATGGAAGGGGCCATAGGGAACGACCGTGGCTGGGGGGAGCAGCGCGCGGCTAAAAACTCGTGTGGCTGGAAGGGGGGGGACGGAAGGGGGTCTTGGCGGCAACAGGAGCGAGGATGACCTGGCAACGGCCCGGGTGCTCTGCTATTCCCAAAGGAGAAGAGTGTTTTAAGCGAGTCGTCGTCAGCCAGTGCCGGTGTGATGATAGTGGGCCGTTTTCTTCACTTCAGCATTCGCTGGCGGAGCGACGAGGACGAGGCGAAATGGTTGCCGCCGAGCCTTCTTCTGCTGTGCGGCACTCGGGAAGCGGGCGGACTATGCCATTGTTGGCCCTCCCCGCGAGAAGGTGGTGATGGTGATTAGTGAGGCTTGACACTTCATCTGCCTGACTTGTTGGCCGTGTTTCACGGCTCATTTCGGGTGGTTGGGCTGGCTGGCTGGCTGGTGTGGAAGCCGGAGCAATTCCTTCCACAAACCTTCCTTTTCCCTACCCGTGCACGAACCAACCCACCATTCCATCTCGTGCCCTCCCCTCGCTCCCGTCTCACCTCCCTTCTCCGCTCTCCGCTGGTGAAAACCCTTCCATTCTTTGCTAACTCATCGATTTCTCCTACACTACCCGTACCCCACCCACCACCACCACCATCACCACACCAGCCCCTTTGACCATTCCATCAGGAATACCAATCCGTCACCAAGGGGAGCTGGAGGAAAATCACAACAGAAGGGGGGACAGTACGTACTGTGTGAGAAGCGAAGAGTGAAGGGGGGGAAAGAAGATAGCTCCCCATCTTCTTTACCCGCCAGACCTCTCCCTCCAAGCACCATTCTAAACACGCCAATCCTCCAATCGCAATGGCGCCAACGCCCCAATCAGCTTATGAGGGTACTTGGGATTCGGACACTCAGAAATATGTCCTTCCACCGCTTGTTGGTTTGCCGTTCTCGGAGATGAGGAAGAATGGTAGTTCATTCCCCCCCCTGTTTGCATATTTGTTGTTTTTTCCAATCTGACTCTCCTTGCCCTTAGGAATGGGGGTTCGGCATGCCGGGGACACGAGGTACTATCGACTCATCGTGATTCATGCAATCTTTGCCGCGTTAGCAATCCTCATCATGATACCCGCAGCGATCATCTGCGCGAGGTTTCTTTATCACGGACGGAATCCACGAGCGGCAATGTGGGGCCACATCGGGTTGAATACGGCTGCCCTGTTGAGCCTGACCATCACCTTCGTTTCCGGCTATGTCGCGGTGGGCCAGAATGCCTGGGGATCGAATCCTCATCATCTGATTGGTGTCTCTCTCTACGGAGCTGTGATTTTTCAGGCATTGTTTGGGTTATTCATTCGGGCTCGGAATCAGAAGAAAGTCATCCGGAAGAAGATTGCGTTTCACACCATGGTATGCCACTTTCCGTTTGTGTGCCCTGCGCATCGACTTGGAACTGACTTTGAAATAGCTGCACCATTGGCTTGGCCGCGGTATTTGGCTGTTGGGGCTCGCACAGATTCCTCTGGGACTCTATCTTTATGGATCACCGCTCATCTTGTTCATCCTCTATGCGGTCTGCGTCTTTGTCTTTTTCCTCTCCTGGTTTGTTTGTGAGTACATGAAGACTCGCGGGTACTTTTCCCTTGGCACAGCCGACCTGGCTCGCGAGACGCCGGATATGGCCGAGGTTCCTACAGCGATGGAAGATGGTTCCTATCAAGCTGGTCAGTATTCGACCGAACTACCTCAACGCAGGTCCGGGCGTGGAAGGATCAACATGTGGCCGAGTATATTTCCCAGGCGACAGTCGAGCGCTAAGGATGCGGCTGTTGGTGGAGGCGGGGGTGGGGGGTACAATACGGATGTGACTAGGGCGACAAGTTTCGATACCAGTAGAGCCCCCAGCGCCCATAGTCCTGCCATTGGTGGTCTTCATGCTCCACCTGGTCGACACAACCAGGTTCCACCGGTTCCAAACTTGCCGACTAACTATGGAGGGGATCAGAGCGATCAGATCGCGTCGCCGGTGGGTTCCGGGGATGTCCATAGGGATAATGGAGATAGGTATCTACAGGGACCTGGTTCGGTAAGGGACACTGTGCTACGAGATAGTACTACTTTGGGGACAGGAATTCATAGTGGACCTTCGCGCGTTGAGATGCCGCACGAGTCACCCATTTCTCCACCCTACACGGTTACACCGGTCGCCTCTGGACATGGAAACATGAGCAGCCCACATACGTCGGATATCAGCGGAAACTCTTCGAGTCACCTAAGGCCGTATCCGATGCCACCCTATCACTCCACCCCCCATCGACAGCAGGAGGAGATGCCACCTTCTCCTATCGCCGGTGGTGGGTATATGGAGGCGGACAACGGGTTCGTACACGGCCCTGCACGTCACGGGGAACCACCAATGGCTCCGCTACCGCTACCGCCGGACCCACGTCGTGGGCAACAACAGCAGCCACATCGCCGCGATAGATCCACTGATAGTATTCCGCGTCTTCCCACGTCCCACTCAACCGAGTATCTGCCCGCGGAGGAGCGTGCGGGAGAACCATCCGTCAGCCGCCGGAACTCGCGGAAGAAAGATGCTCAAGTCAGCGTTCAGGTCCGTGTGAACCCGGATGGTAAATCTGTCACGGTCCGCCGGATACCCGCGGAAGAGAACGAGCGAGATCGTCGTGAGCGTGCGCGCTTACGCGCTGAAAAGGCAGCCCAGCGAGAGATCAGTCTCGACCGTGAACGTCAGCATCGTCGGAGCCACTCTGGTCGCAGATCATCCGAACGTCATGAGCGGCATGAGCGGCATGAACGACATGAACGACCCACAACGTCCGGTTCCGGGGCACGCGTGCCCCCCGCCCCAGCATCTTCAGTAAGTGGATACGGCCCCGAGTCATCTGTGGGCGGGTACGCCCCCTCAACAGGTGCCCAATCATCCACCATCGCGGGTGCTAGCGGCGGCCTTCTCGGGGGCGGCGCTCCGCCACCGCAGGGTAGAGTCCGCGCGCCGGAACCACAGCGAATGCCCGAACCGCCACAAGCCTCAACCCCCCTCCACCATCCGGTCAGCTCCTCTCCACTCCCATACGGCGGTGTCTCTCCGAGCGCACGTGGGAGCGTAGTCAGTGCTTCGGGCACAGCGGAGAACAGCGAGCTGGAGCAGGAAGCGGCGAAGGCATATCGCAAGAAGAAAATACGAGAGGGAACGAGCAGTCTTGGGAACCCGCTGAGTAGTCTGGGAGCTACGTATGATGAAGATGGGGTTGAATGGAATTGATTGGTTTAAACGCGGTTTCTTTTCCTTTTTCCTCGGTTTCAGCATTTTTTCGGTTTTCTTTCTTCGAGGCCAATTTGGGTAAAGTTTGTGGCCTGTTTGTTTGTATACCATTTTCCCAACAATTTCCCATTTTTCGTGACCCGACGGGCGGACGCACGAGCAGCGCGATTGGTGACTGGTGGAACGGGCGAACCGAACAGATGTACTCGAGTATGCCCCAAGCTAAGCTAGGGACTTTGTTTTTCTTTCTGAGAAGAAAAATTCACTCTGGAGTTCTTTTTATTCTCCTTTCTTCCTCCCTCACGTTGATTATTTACGGCAGACTTGGTGTAACGACTTTTTTTTTTCTTTTTTTCAAGATGCGAGGATATCATTAATGACCTTTTTTCTTTTTCCCCTCCATTTCTCATTTAGTTCTTGTTTACTTGGTCGCCTAGCTGGTTTAATTGTAGCATTATGATGGCATGAGGGTTCATGGGTGGTTGTTGGGAGATGGCGGAATATCAAGTTGAAATTTGAAGGGGTGTTTGGTTCCTAGAGTGCGAATATGATACCACGCCATGAGCAATTGGAAGGAGGACTGGGGGAGTGACGTCATGGAAATGATTTTCTGGCGGGTTGAGCAGTACACGTACTCAGGTAGAGGCTCTCCCGGGTTATGAACATGCTGAACATGCTGCGTGAGGGCAAGGGTGAGGGTGAGTTTTGTGATGTGCAGCACCGTACTCGTACAGTACAATACCCCTAGTAGAGCCTAACTGTGCTTATCACATCGCACAAGACCGTACGGACTCTCGGAGAGGGGGTGGGCACAGAATTGTACCGGCACATTATATGGTATCGCGATACTCGCGGCGGTGGTACTATACAGTACAGCACAGTGCTACCCCGAGCAGATGAAGTAGATGAACATTAGCAAGGTGAACGAGGGGATATGCGATAGGGATTGTACAATACAGAACATGGCCCGCCCGCTCCTTACAAGCGTGCTTTACTCGTACGGTACATCTCATATCCAGCGCGGTACAAGCACAGTACCGTACCGTACAGTTCTGTACGAGTACAATTCCATCAGATAACCCGTCCCGCTTTGCTTGCGTCTGGCTTCTTCCTGCCCCTAGTAATATGACAGTTGTATTATAGCTGTATGCATGTTTTGAATCTCACTTTACGGGGGGTGGTGCAGTATGGTGGGGGCGGCGATCTGGAATGGATGGTGGTATCATGTGGTACTGTACCGTGTGTGGAGGAGAGCATGGCTGTTCACCTTAGTGTACGAGCACAGTACAGTACAGTACAGTGTTGTACGGTGTCAATATTTAAATCTGAAGCGCTCGCTTGCGTACTCGTGGCTCTTGTGTGGATCTTGGTTCACCTGTGCCCCCCGTGGGGTGCTGTACCGCCTTGCACTCTATTTGCGCTTTGCTTGTGGGGAACTTGGGGGAAGAATTGTCTCTGGTATACTTGGCCTTCGGTGGGTGGGGCATGTGGGGTCACTCGCTCTCCGCGTCTGCCGCCCGTCAAGGTGTTTGGGACTGGCCGGGTACTCTTCTTGATGTGGCACTTCCGGTGAAGCCGGTTCCCGAAGTTTCTGACCAGAGTTTCCCTTGTCATGGGAGTGGTGATGGCCCGAGCTTTATTTGTCCGTGGGGGGGTCACCTTAGTCACTGTACTCGAGTACAATGGGAATACCTTATACCTCCTTCGATATCTGTGCAACGAGCCAGGGAGAAAGCATCGTATATATCGATTGGTGGATTCTTCAACCGGATGATATAACCCCTTCACTCTCCCCTCCCACCCTCCACGGTCTATCCCTTCTTTTGCGGTACCACCTCCGGCGCATTTCCCAATCTTTGAACGAAACAGCTCGGCATCACCCGGCACCTCACACAGAAAGCAATGGCAAGAGGTGCCCCCCCCCCCCCAACTCCTCCCTCCCTTCCCCTCATCCCCTTCCGCCTTCTCACCGATCTAACCCCCACTACCACCCTTAGTAAAAACCCAATCTCGCCCAAACCCACCGCCAGACTACCCACTAGAACCCCAAAACTGCACCTCAAGCACCACCAGCAGCAGCACCACCACCACCAGCAGCAGCAGCAGCAGCAGCAGCAGTGGCATTAGACCCGCCGCTGGAGTCAAAAAATCCGCGCAAAAGTCCAAAGTCAAGATTTCCAAGGGGCTGTTCAAGCGGCATGTGGATGAGGTTACCAGGGGGGTCATTGAGGACCTGAATGGCTCAGCGGGAGGGGATGAAGAGACGATGGAGTGGGAAGAGGAGGCGCTGGAGTTGTTGAGAGGGGTTATGGAGGGGCTTTTGGAGGGGGCTAGCGGAGCGTAGGAGGGAGAGAAAGGTAGTGTGGGGCCTTATGAGAGGCTTTTTTTTTATGTAGTTTTCTTAGGTCACGTAATGGTGAGAGAAATAGTTTGTATTTATTTGTGGATAGTTTTTTTTTTTTTTCCTTCGACTGGGTTTGTGAGGGAGGGGTTGGGGGAGTTTTTTGTCTATGGATTGTTTGGTTGGCTGGGGAGGAGCTGGATTTGAGACTGGGAAAAAAAGAGCTTGTCGGATATAACTGTTATGCCTTGGTCCCAGCGTTGGCAGCTAGCTTATATGATACTTTAGGAATTATATTCCCAAGGTTTGGCGGGGTGCGAAGTAACGAACGGCATCATAGCATAGATAGGAAAAGAGGAACACCAACAACCCCAGTATCGGAGATGCGCCGTCCGATCAAGATAAACAAATTCCAGCTTTTTCTCATAAGGCAATTTCCAAGAACTTATCCTATCCGGAGGATCAGTAAGGGGATGGATATATATATATATATATATTATGTACACACCCTAGATAGAAGACTCAGTAGAGTATCATACACAAATAATCAGGAAGATATCATAACAGATCTTCCAGCATCGCATTCTCCCCTATCAGTTAGTCCCCACGACGGTCCCAAAGTCCGAGGTCGGAATGGGAAATGACCCCCCAGGAAGACAGGACCGAGACCAAAAACATAGGTCATCATAGATATCATGCGAAGGCTGAGGAGATACTCGGGTGTGGGAGGGTTCTTGCTGTCCGTTTTTTGCGATTTTGTATTTTCTCGGTTTCTCGATTGTTCCCGGTCCCTGAGGTGTGTTGGGTATAGATAGATGGTCAAGTCAGGAGTTTTTTTTTCTTTTTACTTTTTTTCCTGCGTATTTTTACCTTGCTCTAAAGATCAAGGGGCTTCTGGTATGATATACGGGTAATATCATAGTCGGTACTGTTGTATCATATGAAATAACTCGGTTGTCATAAGCGCGCTAATTGCTAGCTTATACTATACGCCTGGGAGATTCTTCCGACGGCCACGTCGAGCTTCCGAATTCTAGGGATCGGCATGGCGGAGGCAGCGTGGGTCCCGACGGAGGGAGAGAGATCCGCTTCAGAGATTGTTGTGGTGATCGGACACTTTTTTGTCGTCCTTTGAAGTTCGTCTCTCCGGTCCTTGTGGATTTTGCCTATCGTTCGTTATGTGGGGCCGGGTTAGGTATGCATTCTATCCCACCAGAAAGAAATTCTCCTTGGTCAAGGGGATATTCTCTTAGCCAAGTAAATATCCCCTTGGCCAAGTACCTGTAGATCACTTTCCCGGTAGGGCGCCCTACTAGCGGAGAAGGATTTCACCCGCCCCGCTCACTAACCTTTCAATATAAAACAACATCATTTGGTTATAAGCACTTTACTGGACTCTTTATTAATATCTTATAAGAACTTTAAATCAGTTCTTATTCCAGGAGAGAAAACCCAGTTATCATATCTTTTACCTTAACAATCAGGTAGAGAAAATCTAGTTTGAGAATTTAAGGTAGATTCAATGTTTGTAAATATTATATGATATGTTAAGTATGGTTAATTATTAATATAGGTAAGTAGTATCAGAAGTAGTATAATTTTCTTAGATAGTAGACAAGGTGGTACTGGTGGAACAAATATATATTAGATTTAAAGACAATCTATGTAGGTATTATAAAGTTTATAACTATTTCAGAGGAAAACAGATGCTTAAGCTAGTATACTATGAGCATATTTCTTCTAGCTGTTTCTGACTATACCAGATGTAGAAATTGATGTTTTCGATTTATGTATTACTTATTGCAAAGAAATGTTCATGAAAAGATACAATAATGGAAAAACCAATTCAAGGAGTAACTGAAAATAAAGAGTGGGGAAAAAAAAAACCCCTCTCAGAACATAAAACAAAAAGAAATTAAGAGAGAAAATGAAAGAAGAAAATAAAACTACTTATGATTCAAGCATTCCAAAACCTGTGCCAGACCTGTCAATTTCAAATCCTTAAGAAAGTGTAAATGTGAAAAAAAGAGCCTGTTTATTATTCTTCTTCATCTCCTCTTTCAAAAACAGGGTTTTTTTTTTATCCAACTTGCACTTGCCTCTATAAGGCCTTAAGGATTTGAAATTGACAGGTCCGGTATAGGTTTCAGAGCGTTTGAACCATACAGGTTCAAGTAACTCATGTTCTTTATTTATAAATATTTCAAAAATATTATTTTTACTTTATATCCGAGTCATAATATTATTTAGAAACCTTTATCTTTCTTTATTTCTGCCTATCACTTAATATTGTATTATGTCATTAGTTTAAATACTTGTAGAGTGGGATAAGAGTAATGTTGCTTTATCAGTAGGGTATCCTATTGGGGAAGTAACCTACTTGGCCGGCAGGGCGGAGCATATACACGGTATAACTTGATACTGTGCTGTACTTGTGCTGTGGTCATTTCGGATGTAAGACTCCAGGGCAACCACACCACAATTCATCGATGGGAATTTAACCCCCGGATGTCGATGCGTTTCATATTATGATATGAAGTTCAGGTACCTTCGCCAGTCGATAGATGTTGGGCTAGAGGTTTGTTCCGTTGATTTTTGTTCCCCCAATTGGTTAGTGACTATTGGTTAGAATTTCCGAGTGATGTATTGTGATGAATCT